AATTGTTGAATTAGAAGATGAGAAAACGTCATGGTCCCAATTAACAAAACTATTGTGTCATTTCAAAATATGTGTTTTCTATGTTAATGCCGGCGTGTAAGAAAGACATTCTTTCATTCAAACAATACTCTACTCATTCTTCTGCTCCTCTCAAGCTCACTTTTTCACCCCTTCTTTTGCATGTGTGTTCTTCTCAATATTTATTTATAGATACACAAGCAGCTTCCTAATTTTTTTTCTTTCCTAGACATTTTCTTCTTTTTTCTTTCATTTAATTCCTTTTTTGTAGCAGTGGATGGAATTACGTTAGTGCAAAAGAGGCAATTCAGTGGTACAGTTGAACCTCTCAAAATCGGGATTCTCTGACAACCATGAATGTTCCTGGATCAGAGAGCCCTGGAGGCTGGGAATACAGTGGCAGGGGGGAGCAGGTCTGGGGGAGCCAGCGGCCATTAGCACATCCAGACTGGCAGGAATGGGACCAGCACTAAGGATGGCATTTAACAGCAGGTCCAATGTCTGGCAGTGGGCTGGGAACAGCAACAGTGGAACCAGGAGATCTGTTGGGCAAGCAGCAGCAGGGCTGGCATCTATCATCAGGGTCAGGCCTGTGGCAGCGGGTCCAGCAGCCCTATCAGGGCCGGGAGCCCTGCTGGGTCAGCCACAGCAGGGCCAGTGATTGGCAGTCCAGCTGGAGTCAGGAGTGCAGATGGGTGGGAAACAGACAAACCAGCATTGACCTCCTATGGTCAAGCAACCTCCCTTGTTTGGGACCAGTCAGTCCTCAAGGGAAGTACAACCTGTAACACTAAGGAGTTTATCACTTACAGGGCAGATTTTCAAATGAGCCCAGCTTCTGTATAGCCCCAGGCAGATTTTCAGAAGTGCGCAGCACCCAGCAGCTCTCATTATGATACTTCCCAAAAATTGGCTGTAGAAGTTCAGTACGCATCATGCAGAAGCTGCTCTAAAGCTGGCCATGTGATTCTGGTGCCTAAGTGAACTCTTAGTAAAATCTGGCCTGACTGCAGGGGCTGTGCTCTTTGGAAAGGCAGGTCTATAGTTACCAATGGAGAAGAAGGCAAAAGCGTGTCTAAGAAATAGAATACAAGGCAGGGAGAAAAGGGCACATGGAAAATAAAGAGAAAAGCAAAAAGGAAGAAAGCTATCAAGGAAAAACAGAAAGGGGAAACAGAAACCACTAAACAAAAAATGAAGAAAGAAGAATTAAGTATTCAGACACAAAAGATAGAGATGAACCTGCCCCCTCTACATAACTTCTTAATGATACCTAAAATTTGGCAGCATCCCTTTAATATATAATATATTGTTAACATCAGGAATTAGGGATAAGTGCTGCCAAGAGCAACATTATTTGGTTATCCTGGGTTTCTTAGTTATTTAATGCAATTGGCAAGAGTTAAAGTATGACTACTGTATCCAGCTGTGTTGACTGAGTCACTCAGTTTGCCCAGAGCATATGTAGTATCTGTCTTATCCATATCCTTAATTCAGACTGAATTAGAGAAATGAACAGCCTTCAGATTTTCTCATGCTGTTTTCTATGTACCTCAGTCTTTTATGTTATCTAGTAAATATGTAGCTATCCATGATGATAATGTAGAACCAAAGTGAGACGTACATAAACACATGACGATAGTTAAAACTCAATACAGTTTTACCTATAATTCTCTTTTCCAGCTCATTAATTTCAGCCCATTTCATTTAGTTAGGTGAAATGGTACTGAAAGCTTTAATGATGATCTGCAATTTCTGTTTCCATATTTTTTATTGCTGTCTTCTTTCCTACAGCAAATTTGTAAGAAGCATCATTTTTATATGAACGTTTTCCAGCTAATGGGAAATTTGTGTAGTTTACAGTAATGACTGCTAAAAGATTCGTATGTTTGTGAGTTTCTGCACTTACTGTAAGATCCTTGTATGCAGTTAACAATAGTTGTAGTGCTCTCTCCTTTAGATTAACCACAGGATCTTGCACAGTCTGTGGTTTCCCCCCTATGAAGCATTTCCCTTTACATGTATGACAGGTAGGGAGGGAATTTGTGATGTACTATTCTCAGAAGATTTGGAAGTTTAGTTAAGGATCTGAAGATTTAGAAAATTATTCAATTTTTCTGATCCTTCTTGGTATCTACCAAATTGTGGATTTTAACATTTCATTATAATCTTTCAAATAATGTATATTTAGCTGGAAGTGGAATTTATTCAGATTTCAAGCTGTCATAATCTATCTATGAAGTTTTCAAATCTGTTATATGCCAAGGAATTAATTCACAAAATGATAGAGGGAAAGCTGAAATTTTCATCCTAGTGTTTTCCAAAGATCTAGAATATGAATTTGGATTCTTGTCAGACAGAAGAGCATATGGGAAAAGAAAGTTTACAGAAATTAATCAGACCAAGCTAGATGCAGAATTCTCTTGTTAGATTCATATGGCAGTGTGCATCAGGCTTTCTGCATGATATGTATGAGTAACATTTCTTAAGTAGATCTCAAAATAAGTACATTGTCTTCTACTGTGTGTTATTACACACCATGAAAATGTGAGAAACTTGCTCAGATTATACTTTCAAACTCCACATTTTACTCCAATTGTGCTATTGTGGATTTTTTTCTGTAGAATTACATGGGAGATAATGCTCATCTCATACTTAGTTACACATCATCCTACAGTGGTTTCTATCACTATTGTATTTGAGCACAACCCCTGTTCTTGCTTATTGTGGTAATCCCAGGAGATTAAATCACACCGTAAATACCACATGAAGTAAATCAAGATTAGACTGAGAGTCTGTTTACTTCCTCTACATAGCAGCACTCCAGAGTCTTTTGCTTTTAGCTTCGCTGCGTAACATGGATGGTTAATCCTTAAAGGAACCAAATTTGGCTTAATTCCTCTTCTTTCTCACTGCTAATGTCCAGTAACACACACATTCACTGACCTTGGAAGGGCAAATAAAATGTTCCTTGGGAAGCCAATAAGAAAGTTGCTTGTTGTGGAGATCTTGAGTTCAAGATCTGCTTTAAACTCATATCTGAAATGCCCCTTGATAGTCTGCTGTCAATTTTAGTCAAGTGGAATATAGAGGGCTTCTTTTTTAAATCATCTGTGAAATTGCAGCATAAAGACATTTCAATATCTGGAACTAATGGCCCATTCACTGTGGGACTTTCTCAAGGTTCTAAGACCAGCCCTCCCATGTACACTGACAAAGAGAGAACCTTACTCATTCCCTGGAAGGTGCTGGATTTCTGTTTGCTTATTAACAAGCAATAATGTTTATTGCCAGTTTTACTCCTCCACTGTTTCTCCACCACTTCACTTTAATTATTCCTAAATGCTGTAACATAATTCACATTTGTCCTTTATTATAAAGAACCTTCTCTCATTCTAGACCCAAATTTGCTTTCATCCCACACACAAATCTGGTGTTATTGTAGTTTTATTACTGTAATTATTTGTGACAAAACTACTGAATCATGGAGCTTTCTTTCAATGCATTTATGTCTGCAGGCTACCAAACTATCACAGGTGGATCAGGCTAATTTCTGGAGTGATTTATACTCTGTGTATCCTACTGAGTCTAATTCTCTTCTCGCTGCCACAGTTTTAAATCCATAGGCTTCAAAGGAGTTACTCCTGATTTACACTAACATACATAAGAGAATTGGTCTCAAGGGGAGGTGTTAAAACAGCAGTAGGGGTGTGTAAAATGACTGTAAGTGACAGGAGAATCAAATGCTGACTTCAGGGGGATACTGAGATTATAAATCAGTTCAGAAAATGCCCCATCTCTCTATGAAATACTTCGGTAACCTGAAGACATCCTAAAAATCATCACTTATCAGGATGTAAGCCAGTCCATAATTTGGCACGCTGTTGTTCTGTGGCTGCCAAAAAGATACACTATATTGATAGTACAAACATACAATACAGTGCTACAAAATCAGCAGTTCTCAAATAAAAGCATTCAAGCAATTCAGGCAGCAAGAAATCCAAGTCACAAACTAAGTCATTATAACAAGCTCACTCACTTTGCTCACCTTTAAAAGCTTAGGGCCAAATTCTATCCTAAGACACTGTCTTCTGTTTCACTGACTTTGGAGGATTGGGGACATGCCAATATCTGTGCCAAGTTCACTCTTATCATTTTTCTTCTCTTGCTGACTTCAGTAAGAGTTACATCTTGCATAGTCTAAAGGTCAGAAGCCACAAAATTCTGACAACCTTTAATGTCCACAGAAGCTAATGGGACCTACGTGGTGGGATTCACTTGTTGAAAACAGCTAGGATGTTTATTATGGTCTATGATTCAAGTATTTATGGACCTGATTCCATGAATTATGAATTCCACGAGGTCAGGGCACTTCCATGGGACTAGACAGCACTCAGCATCACAACAGAGACTCTCAAGACCTTGCAGGGATTAGGCCTTAAATCTCTTAGGGTGTGTTTACACTGCACCATTAGCTCGGAATAAGAAATGCAATTTGAGCTATGCAGATTGCATATCTTATTTCAAACGAATTTCAAACTAATGTCTACACAGCACCAAATTTCAAAATAAACCACTATTCTAAAACATCCCTTAACCCTCATACAACGAGGGTTATAGGGATGTAGGAATAAGGAACCTGTAATGTTTTGAAATAATGGGCTTGCTTAAAAGACACGGAATAGCTATTTCGGGATACCAGAAGTACCCCGAAATAGCGCAGCTGTCTAGACGTACCCTTTCAGTCCTCCTTGCAAGCCTTCATAACACTGTATAAACAGCTTTGAAACCTTGATATATAAAATAAAAACATGGGATATAAAAGCAGTTTTCATCAGTAATCAACTTTCTTCTGACAGTAGGTATATGACATATATAATTCATGTTGAGTTTTATAGTTACTTGCACAGTTCTGATTTAATAAAATATGATGAGCTATAATGATGTAGATAAGACAGTTAAACAATGCATTGAAAACTTACTTTCTGCAGGCTCTTTAGATCTTCTGCCACTGGATGACTTCCTCAGTAAACTTCGTCCTGAGGTAAAGAGGCTGGTTAACTCCTCTAAAGGACTGGTTGGTGTTCTAGAACGTGAACCACTCTGTGATGATGACCCGTAGGTATTGACTGAGGCATTTACCATCTTTCCCCCTTCTTGCAACGTAGTTCTGGCTGTAGAATGAGGCACTGATGGAGAACTTCTTGAGAGACTTCCTGAATGTACAGAGTCATAAGGTGGAGGTCTTTTGAGGCTTAAGGGGGTAAGAGACCTACCCATACTGACAGGAGAGGGTGAGGCAGAGTGACTTTTAGGGTAGCCATGTGGAGACTGTGTTCTGTATAAGGTAGAAGGATGAGGAGGTGAGGAGGAGTGCCCAGGAGTGGTAGTTCCATGGGATGCTGTCTGGTCTTTCTCCAGTTTTTGATGGCCTGGTGTATGAGGTGGCAGTGAAGATGGAGAAGCTCCAGCTTGTTGTTTGATGTAAGACACATTTTCTAGTACAGGAAGCTTTGCAACTTCCAATGGAGTTAGAGGAGACTCATCAGAATTTGGGGAACACTGCACTGGTGCTGGTGGAAACACCAGTAGTGGAGGTCTATGAGAAAGTAGATTTGGAAATGGTGGGGGAATATCACAAAGCAAGCCCTTGGGAGTAGATGGCACTGAGGACTTGGCGAATTCGAGGTCAGGCACTGTAGGAGTAGCACACTGAGAAGAACAACTGTGATGGTCATATTCACACGAACACTTTGAATCTTGGCCTACATCATCAAATATAGGGTATTTCATCTCCTCATAGACTGCTTCACTTTGGTCATCCTCATCTTTTTTGAAGTCTCTTAGTATATTCCCAACCATTTCAATATAAACAGGCTCTTCTTCCTCTGTGTCTGGGGCAGGACTGCTGACCTGCGATAAAGAGGAATCCCTAGTGAGTGTTGTCTTCATGCGGCCATGCTTTTTGATGTATGTTTCATCAAAAGATGTGCTTAGCTGAGTGTTGGGATTTCGTTTAGGCTTAGGAGGAGGAATCTTCTTGGTATATTCATCACTGTGTGGTCTTGGTTTGGCCGACGCTGAAAACAGAAGATAATATAAATTAATCAAAACTACTTAAACTTCTTCTGACACAGAATTTCTTATAATGTAATTTTATAATAGATTTCTGGGGACTGGTTCACTTAGCAATACTCCAACATTATGCCAGTGCAACCCAATTAAAAATAACGACTGATTAAATGCATATCCTGACCTTTCCAATTCTGTTAGGGTGCACCATAATAATACCATTCATGAGCATTTTTCCTCTCACAAGGGCTGCCCTCCATCAAGCCCATTGGGCAGGACATTTTTCACATTTAAATATACTCTGCTGTTATGAAAACCCTGGAGAGACAACCATAGTTCCTGCTAAGGTACTCGCATGCACGGCCGCGAACACAAAATTCTTCCCCCGCCCACCACCTCTGGAGTCCCATGCAGCCACACTCATGAGGGAGGCGGCTGCTCCTGTGGGTGGGACCGGCTGATACAGAGTGGTGAGGGAGCTGCTGGGGTGAGGGGCCGGGACCTGCCGCAGCTGCATGATGGAGGGGAGGCCTCATCCAGTGGCTGGGGCTGCCATGTGGTAGGGGAGTTCGGGGCTTGTTTTGGCAGCTAGGGCTTGGAACAGGATGTTCCACATGGCAGGGTCTGCTCTGATGTCTGGGAAAAGGACGTGGTGGGGTGTGTGTGTGTGTTTGTTTCTGCTCCAGTGGCTTGAAATGTGAGTGTTAATAAATTGGGTGCCACAGTGGCACACATCCAAACCAGTGCACATGACCTCAATATCGGTGCACAAACCAAAACTCACTCCGCTCATAGCTGGAAAATCTTAGAGGGAACACCAGAGACAACACCTGCATCTAGGAATGAACTTCTTATGGACACGAAAGACCCCAGACAATTATACTGGAGTGATAGAGGCATAAAATAGGGATGAATCAAGACCCTTTCACAATAAGACCATTCTGTTGCAGTCATAACAACTGTATGTTCACTCCTATTGATGAAGTATATTTGTTCTTACTGTGATGCAAGTAGTGTAATACTTATCTCCAAAATGTTTCTAAAGTCAGTTGGACTCCATGTTGTGAAATGCCAAGACTTTGATGGAAAATGAAAGGACTCAGCACCTCAAATGATTTGGATCTTCTGAAATAGTTTAAAACTGAAAACAATTTATAAATCTGTCTTTGAAAATTATAAGTTGAAACATCATTATTAAATTCATTTTATATGACAGAGCAAGGATTTCATAGAAACTATCCTCTATAGATATAACAAGAAACACACACATGAATGTTGTATGTAGGTCTCTCTGTATAAATAGTATCTCATTAAAGGTTCGGGTTAAACCAGTTTATCCTCTTAAATGGACTTAGCCAATTCACTTACAAGAAAAATCAGCAAGAACACTAGCCCTTACCTCTATTTCGGTAGAATATCTCTCCTGATAACTTATTGCTGTGTCCCACAGTTCTAAATTTCCTAAACCATAGCTCAGTTTAACATGCCTGTCTTCCAGATTTTTACCTATGCTGTATTTCTCTATGATAGTGCCAATTCTACACTGAGAAAATTTTCAAAGTACCTTCTGCTGACACATCAGAAAACATCTTGTGAGTTTCTAATGTTAAATCAACCAGGCAGCACTTGTGGACTTAAAGGACCCCTTCAAGAAGCTCAGCCTCAAATGCACTGCTAAATTATCAACAGTACATTGTTCTGCCAGCTGGAAGACCATATTTTGACAGTTTACTTATGAATCCCAGCTCTGGGGTAGGAGAGGCTAGCATTATGGCCTGTGATTGAATTGTTTTGTTTATTGGGAAAGGATTCTAGCATACAATTATTGTTATTTTGTCATACTTGTGCTTTGATACATAAGGTATCATTACTACTCATGGCTAAGACATATGTCCCATCAACTATGCAGAAGATATTGTAATAAAGTTTGACATCAAATAGAATGCTAATTCTGTTTAGGAATTAGTAGAATTGGGTTTATATTGAGTGTAGAGACCACATTCATGTCAATACCATCTGCATAAATATAACAGGTAGTAAGGATTTTTCCGGAGGTGGGGAGAGAATAGGGACCTAAGCAGGTTTTGAAAACCATCAGAGTTCTATTATAACGTATTCAAAAGTGTCAGAGATAAAATTTTCAGAGCTACTTAAATGTGTTGTGACTAGTTTGCACTTAGAATTTCTGTCAACATAGCTACAGAGGGTGAAAAATCCATACTGGTGACCAATGTCCTATACTGACATAAACCTCAGTGTAAACACAGCTAGATTAATGAAGAATGCTTCATTGACCTAGCTACCATGAGACAGGAACATGATATCCCTTTCCATTTCTATGAGCTGCACCTGTGCTGTGGTGTTATGCTAGCATAGATACAGTGCCCAAACTATGTCAGGATAATCCCCGTAGTGTAGGCATACACTTAGGAGGCTAAATCCCATTTCCAAATGTCTCTTAGGACAAGTCTCCATAGGGACACTCAGGAAAGCAAGGTTGAATTTGCTAAAGGTATAAATTTGAAGTGCATTAATGCCTACATGGATGCTCGGATGGATGTTTGGATGGATGGATGGATGGATGTGAATGGGAAGGTGGAAAATGAGGAGTTTGAGTGGGCAGAATGGAGGAATGCAAAGAACCTCCTGAAGGGGGAAGTTCATTTGATCTACACAAGCAACAGGATGTGTGACCCTCTTGTTAACAGATACTGGACAATATTTTCAGAGGTAACTTAGGTTTGGTTTATACTTCAAACTTATTCAGGCATGCCTATATCATTCATGGTGTGAAAAACCACACCTCTTGATGGCATGCTTCAGTCACCATAGATACTGTAACTCAGGAAGGTGGCATTTCTACACAGGCAGAGAAACACTTTTTTGTTTTCGTTGTAGTCCACAGCTATACCAGGAGGCTGTCAAATATAGCTGTGCTGACATAAGCTCTGTAGAATAGTAGACAGAGGCTAGGTCTGCACTGAAAAGTTAGATTGATCCAGCTATTTTGCTCATGGGTTGTTTTTCTGAAATGAAATATGTTCCCTGGAATTTTCATGGGGAGTCAGCTGGACCAGGAATCTAGATGGTAAGGCTGCCCCCAAGCCAGACCCTGAAAACCCCCTGCCCTCAACCATTGAAGCTACCAAGAAGGTGGGCAGCAAGTAGTCTTGAAACTAGGCTGGTTTCTGATGGAACCCTCCCAATGTTCAATAGGGAGTTTATCAAAATCTAACTTTTTGCACAAAACTTCACTATCTTGCAAACCAGTAAATTGTGACCAAATAACATTGTTTCATTTTCCAACAAGCACCAACACACACAACTCCCGCACCTCCAGCCACAAAGGGAATTCTATTGAGTTGCTTCTCTGTGAATGACAAACACACAAATGAAAAGCTGTTGTGCGTGCATTAGAAAATCTATTTTTGTATGTCTTTGAAAACAACTACAGCAGTGACATGCAGTCTTTTTGCAAACTGGCATATGATGTCATATTGCATTGGTCTAGAATACACAAATGCCTTTATCAACAGAAAGGTCAACTGACCCAACCTTCCTGAACAAGGTGGAAGATAAATTCTGATGGGGTGATATTTTCCTCCACTAAGGTTATTTTATTTCTTCTCTATAATCATTTGTATAAGTTAAGTAGTAGAATGACAACATGTAACTTAGATGTTCCCTCCCAGCAATCTGTAGGACTTTATATATTAAATATATATTTAATTTAGGTACTTGTTTATTACTTCTACTGGGAATACATGATACTAGAATCTCTCTAGTTTGGCATCTTCTAGACCTAACCAAACCAGAGAATTTGCTGGACAATGGGACATTAGTGATGTCTAGCAGCATTACCAACATTTCCACTGCTGACTGGAGCTAAATAACAACAGCACGGAACACAGAACAAGGACTAGTGGCTATTAACAAACTTTATGGGACCACAGGAAACTTAGCCACTCCCATGATAAGAGGACAGCTGGGTAACTAAAATCAGAGAGTGCCAGACTAGAGGTTCAACCTGTATTATAAAGATACAAGAGGAACTAGCCAAATAAAACCAGTGTGTGGGGGAGGACAAGAGAACAGAGGCCTCTGGTTAAGAAGGGGAGCAAGGAAGCTGCTACACATCAATATGCAGTGTAGTGTATACTCATTCAACTGTGATTAAGTAAGACAGGTGTCAAACTGAGTTAATACCATGATGATTCAGGCTTATCATTATTGTTAATTATTTTTACTATTCTTTTTAAAGGCTCAGAGTCTCAAGCCACTTCTGTAGCAAGAAATGATATTTTGTGGCAAAACCCTAGCTGCAGAATTATGAAATACCTATTTATAGGCTGCCACTCAAATGATTTTAGATGGAACACAAGAATGCTGCAATTAAGAAAACTATGCTACTGTAATGAAAAGCACAGACAATGTGTCTGCAAATTTATGTGTAACCAACATTTGGCAGAGAGCTGTGCATTAGAGCTCTGCCAAGGTCCCATAGTTAATGAAAGCAGATTATTTGGCAATGCCTGTGAGCGGAACAGGCAGCATTGCCTTAGTACTTGACATTTATCGGGCAAGGAAAGCATTCCGTATGCCTACTGGTAGCACAAATTGCTATGAAAAGTAACCAGGGCTGACACTTGGTGACACACACACACTGCAGTGTTGTCTGCTATAAACATGGAATAATTAAATACTTTTCAATACAGATTACTATGCCACTGGTCACTTGTTCTTACTATCCTGCCAACTCAGGAGGCATGTGTGTGTCACCTGGCTGTCTAGGGCAGGGAATCATAGAAGTATGGAACTGGAGGTCAACAAGTCGAGGCCCCTGCACTCATGGCAGGACCAAGCACTATCTGGATTACCCCTGACAGGTGTTTGTTAAACCTGCTCTTAAAATTCTCAAATGTTAGAGACTCACAATCTCCCTAGGCAATTTATTTTAGTGCATAACCACCCTGACAGGAAGTTTTTTCCTAATGTCCAACCTAATGGC